AGAACTGAGCAAAGGAAGATATCAAATGTGACAATAAACTCACAATGACATAGGAAGCAGGGAGCCCTCCAGAGGCAAGATTACATTGAAGCCAAATAGATCTCTATCAAAGTTATAAGAATCAATACAAAAACAAGAGATACCCGTGGTGTCTCTCTGGAAGGCAAACTAAATCTTCCATGGACTCCACACTATTTAAATATTATGCATTAACCAAAATTTGGTTGCAAAGACTTTAAAAACAAGTTTGCCAATAAGTTGCTGGAATGCAGAACTTGATGAAAACATACATGTTTAATGTGCTCAGATTAATATTTTGTGTATATGTCTGAGCGGAAGACAGGGTGAATACATTTTTATTAATCATTGTTTCCAAAAATGTTTTCTTTATGCAAAGTGTCCCACCTTACTTTCATTCAAGTTCATCTCTTGCATTTAGACAAATTTAACTTTAGATGCTGAAATGAAAATTAAATTATAGAATGAGTGGATAGAGTGACCCTGCTTAAGCCTGCCTACGATTTTCCAATGCAATATAATTAAGTCCTGGATTCTGGATTCCTATATACTAGTCGAGGGCTTCTTCTGCTCCCCCACCCTACCCCTTAGAGGGTGCATGTGGCTCACCAGAGAGAGAAAGAAAAAAAAAGCACACCCCCTGTGGAGCATGATCACACCACAATCTCTTCTCCATTTCTTCCTCCTTTTGGAATTTTGGGCACACACATGCACATATGCACAGACACACACACACACACACACACACACACACATACCTGGCAGATTTCTCAAGCCACTGAATGTAGGACTCAAATCCACTGGTAAGCCATGTGAGATCCAGCTACCTTTCCCACCAGGCCATAGACTGGCACAGGCTCCTACATGGCATGCTAACATAGATATCTGTTACAATGCAGTTTAAAATATCATTGGTAGCTTTTGTTTAACATGACTCCCATTTTTCAATATATAATAATAATTATGCACTATTACCAATTCAGTTTTTACTCAGATGTTATAAAGGTCTTAAACAAATTGACATTTGAATATTTAAATATGCATTTAAAAAGTCTTTAAATGAAATATATATTGGTTGTCAGAAAAGTCATAATGTATTTTCTATGTTTTTCTATGCAAAAATGGGTCATGACTTTTCCAACAAACCAATAAATTAAATCATGTTGTACTGGCTAGGATTGTAGTTCATCAAGGCTTCTTAAAAATGAATAGTTTTTTTCTTTTTTAGTATTTTCAACTATGGGATGTTAGGGAGAAGAAGATAAGGAATCAAGTGAATTTTAAGAAAAGACTTAGAATTTAGGCTGTCCTTGGGGGTCAGGATTGAAAAACAATTTTTCTTATTTGATTCATATAAATGTAGTTCCTTTATCTTTCTTGTTAGAATATTTTATTCAGGTAATTTTAGAGGAGCAATATGTTGCCTCAAAAGTTGTCTTCCTTTGGAAGACAAGGAGACAGGTTGGAATGAGGAGGAATGAAGACATTTTAGAGCCCCTTTGATTCTAGCAGTTATGATGCAAACTGTGAAATCAACCCGTTCTACCTTTTCCTAGGAGATTCTTCATTATCAGTAAATACAGTGGGATGCATGTGTGTTAAGATGAAGGTTGTAAACAATACTGCTTTTTAGTCATGTATTTGGGGGCAATAGTCATAGCTCTCCTGCTTATTTTGTAATATTTAACTGGAAAGTTTGAAACAAAAAATCTTCCAAGATTGATATAAATAACATTTAATTATTGATATTTACTAAAGTGTAAGCAGCTCTGAAATGTATTTGACCCTACAAAAGTATAATTTTGCTGCTTTCAAACATATATGCAGAAATGAATGTCAAAATTCTTCCTTTTACTTCATTTTAATTTAACAAGCAATCTTATATTTAACACATTTCAGAGCTTTTTCTTTCTCATTTTAGTTGCCACATTGAACTTGAGCAGTTTCTAATTGAGTGTTCTAATTGCTGGGGACCAACACTGCCAGGGAAGTTAATTGGCTGCGAGACAAAAATGTCACCTTCTATTTATATTTATATAAAACTTCATGGTTTACAAAACACTTTCATATGTGTCACCTTAATTAATACTCACAGTGACTCTGTAATGTAGATAAAGTGTAATCAGAGAAACAGAATAAAGGAGAAAAGACACGTGTGCAAAGTCATCCAGTAATGTATTCAAGACTCAAATGCAGATCTTTAGACTCCAACACAAATCCATGGTGCATCTCAGAAAAGTAATTTGCATTGCAGTGGGAGACAAGGTTGGAATGAGGAGGAATGAAGACAAAGAATATAGGAAGATAACTATTTAAAAGTCAAGAAAGAAGACTATTTAAGGAGTAGGGTGAAAGACATTGAGAAACTGACTCAAGAGAAAGAAAAATGAGTTGAATTGAAGAGATAAAAAGGAGAACATAGACTTGGTGGAAAGGGTTGGCAAGAACAAAAGGTGGTTTTGGAAGTTCCAGCCTGGTGTTATGGAGGTTGAGGCAAGTAACCTAAAAAACTATATGAGTGGCAGGATGTAAGTCTTAAAAAGGGTAAGCTGGGTGTGAAGGTGTCTGTGGACCATCATTCTGTATTCAGACCATGGTGACTTTGATAGATGAGAGGCCAACTAAAATTAGTAGAAAAAGAGTTGAAACTGTAAGGCACTAAGACTATTTAAGAATCATCAAACTTTTAGAATCAGATTTTATTTATTTTTTAAATTAATGTTTGGCCAATAATAAAACAAGATGGCAATCTTAAAAATGCAGAGATTATGAGCATTCATCTTTTCACATTTCATTTCTTTATTTGTGACACTCATGACACTTTTTCCATTTTAATTTAAAACCACTTTTTACTATGTCCTCCCTCAAATTGAAGGGATAATTTGATACCATCACCCAGATTGTCTGTAATCTAACAGGGACACTATCGTGCATTTGTTGTGACGATCCTGCTTCCTCTGCTTTTTAATCATATGCTAAGTCTCATCTGTTATCATAGCTGCCTTGCTAGCTTACTGCAAGTGTAGTTGGGGGAAAAAACGAATTAAAACCAGCACTCCACATTCTCATTCCACATTTAGGCGAGCAATTGAGGATGCCACCTTTTAATGACTTCATTCTTCTGGGGCCCTTGACAACTAATATCTGGCCCAGGTAGAAGTAAAATTATGTGCATAGAAACATCCCTGGCAGTGTCCCCTCACTGACTTTCTGACATGTGCTCATTTGCTATTTCAACCAGAGCACTGAAAACTTCCACTGAGTTCCAAACCCAACTCTGTCAGGGAGAAAGAGTCCTTTCTTTGTCACGGCCACTTTCTTTCATACTCTCTTGCTACTCACTAGCTACTGGAGGAATTGGCAGTGTTGCTTATAGAAAGCACACTATTTTGAGGTTATTTTTTTCTTTTAGGTGCCTCATTAAAGTTGAGCAATGTTTAATGTCAGGGTCCTATTTGCTGGCGTTGTTTGTGTGTGGCCATAAATTACAGTCACTGGTGAAGTTTTTATATTGATTTTGCCAACTGCTTAGGGAATACATGGTTCTATGATAAATAATACAGGAGAAAATAGATCTAGGTGGGGAGTATAAAGGGAATACATGAAATGTTTAGTCCTTTTGTGGTAATTTATGATTTCAAATGGGAATTTATATTCTCTTTGCTAATTTATATCCTAATGTGACAAGAGAAGACAAATGAAGTGGGAACTTACACTCCTGCTTTCGAGAGTACCAAAGAAGACACTCCTGTTTACATGGGCTTAAATGGCCACAGATCCTCATCTGATCTGGAGGTTTATGCTCTGAAACATCCACATAAGAGTTGTAGGATATCCAGGACCAGCAGTTAGCGTAATGGCTATGTCACTGGACTCCCATGTAGTCTACCAACATGCTAAATTGACCCAAGTTTTTTTCCTAGGTTGGGGGGCGTACTACAGCGGCCTTGCCAATGTGTGAACTGACTGAAGTGGTGCTCAAAGATCAAAAGCTCAAAACAGATCCTGGGGCCCCACCAGTTCAGACTCCTCCAGACCGTGGTTCGAGTCCCGGTCCCAGCAGCTTAAACTCATGCCAGGCGCGTGTGTGTGCGTACCCAAGATCCCCAGAGGAGAATAGAGGAGAAGGGATTCCGGCGTGGCCATCCCCCCTGGGGGGTGATTTCTTGCTTTCTGTCTCTCTGTCTGGAGAGCACACGCGCCCTATAGCAAAAACCTCTCCCCAAAAAAAGAGTTGCAGGATGTCAGAAGTGAGTTGAGCACTCAGCTCACATGCTCCTCTTTTAGACAGGTTTGTTCTGAAGGTGGAATGACATCATTCTTCTATTCTAGAAAATGAGTAATGGCTATGTCACTGGACTCCCATGTAGTCTACCAACATGCTAAATTGACCCAAGTTTTTTTCCTAGGTTGGGGGGCGTACTACAGCGGCCTTGCCAATGTGTGAACTGACTGAAGTGGTGCTCAAAGATCAAAAGCTCAAAACAGATCCTGGGGCCCCACCAGTTCAGACTCCTCCAGACCGTGGTTCGAGTCCCGGTCCCAGCAGCTTAAACTCATGCCAGGCGCGTGTGTGTGCGTACCCAAGATCCCCAGAGGAGAATAGAGGAGAAGGGATTCCGGCGTGGCCATCCCCCCTGGGGGGTGATTTCTTGCTTTCTGTCTCTCTGTCTGGAGAGCACACGCGCCCTATAGCAAAAACCTCTCCCCAAAAAAAGAGTTGCAGGATGTCAGAAGTGAGTTGAGCACTCAGCTCACATGCTCCTCTTTTAGACAGGTTTGTTCTGAAGGTGGAATGACATCATTCTTCTATTCTAGAAAATGAAACACATACCTTTCTTCAAACAAACACTTACTTAACTATTTTATAAACAATACATCAAGTTTCCTTACTCTAATTAGAGGCAAAAAAAAGACTACATAGTATATATTCTGATGTCAAAGAATGAAATTTTCTTTTATATACTAAGGAAATTCAAAAAACTTGTAGAGAAATGTAATTAAAAAATAAAAATTGCAAATATAAACTTTATTTCTCAATATAAGTTCTACCAGGTTCAAGACACTTTCATAAAAAAGTAATTATTTTATTTTATTTATTCATTCATTCATTTTTTAATTTGACCAGAGAGAGACAGACCAGATTCAGGATTCGAACCCTGGTTGGCCATGTGGGAGTGTCCAGCGCCTTAACTACCACACCACATGCTGGTCCCAAGTCCATCCCTAAAGAACTGATGATCCTGGAAATTTAATTATGGCACTGCAGTCTTTTTTCACATTATTAAGTGGAGAAAAATAGGTGCCCTTTAAAGATTTTTTTTAAGATTAAGAAACAAACAGAAGTTTAAAGGAGCCAAATTAGGACTGTAAAGTAGATGTCTAATGATTTCCCATCAAAAGTCTCGCATAATTGCCCTTGTTTTATAAGAGGAATGAGCAGGGGAATTCTTGTTCTGGAGAAGGACTTTGGTGAAGATTTCTCAGGAATTTTCCTGCTTACAATTCAGTTAACTTTCTCAAAACACACATACGAAGATGTTGGTTTTTCCTTTGGCTCTCCAGAAAAATAACAAGCAAGCTGCCTTGAGCATCCCAAAAAACTGTTGGCATAACTTTTTCTCTTAACAAGTTTACTCTTCTTTTGACTTGACCATTTCTACTTCTTGGTAGTCGTTGGCTTTGAATGTGCTTTGCTTCAAGATTGTGCTGAGGCCATGTATCATTTCGTGTTACAATTCTTTGGATTCTTTAGGATTTTGATCCCACTTGTTAGAAATTTCCATCAAAGGGACCAGCAGTTGGCATAATGGCTATGTCGCTGGACTCCCACGTAGTCGACCACAGTTTGAGTCCTGGACCCGGTGGCTTAAACTCATGCTGGGCACGTGTGCGTGCGTGCCCAAGATCCCGAGAGGAGAAGGGAGGAGAAGGGATTGTGACGTGGCCATCCCCCCTGGGGGGTGATTTCTCGCTTTCTATCTCTCTGTCCCTCTCGAGCGCACGCGCCCTATAGCAAAAAAATATAAAAAATTAAAAAAAATAAACCTCTCCAAAAAAAGAAAAAGAAAAAAAAGAAATTTCCATCAAAAGCATTGCTCTTATCTGTAGTTAATCTGGGTGCAACAGTTTTGGCACCCAAGCGAGCAGGAAATTTGCTCAAATTTAGTTTTCTAGTCAGAATTGTGGAAGCTAAACCACTGCGGTATAATATTATGTTGGTTATTTTTGCTGGTATTAACTATTAGTCCTCCTCAATTAGGGCACAAACAAAATTAGTTTTTTACTTGCAAATTGATGTGAATAGCCTGATGTGAATTGTCTGCTGTCGGGGACAGTATTTTCAACTTTGATGGCTTTTTTCATGAGTTATCTGTTTGTAGACTGCTGATTTCTTTGGTGTTCTGTCCTCATCAACTTCTAGTAAAGCATCAGTGATTTCACCATTTTCCACCCAAGCTTCACCATAAATGTGATATATGTTCTAGCTTCAATTTTAGCAGAGTTCATATTGCTCTTTTCAAATAGATGTTTTATCCTTCTTTTGTGCCTCAAACTAGAACCTGATATAAATTTAGTATGAGCTGATTTGGGTAAAATTTAAAAAAAATATATGCATAGCTTTTTCATAAAAAAATATATATTTCATATATTTTCCCTGAATTTTTTTGAAGAACATATACATTAGGTCATCAGAAAAGTCATAATGTATTTTTGCAGAAAAAAAAAACCAGAAAAGCATTTCAGGACTTTTCTAACAACTATATATATATATTATATATTTATATATATATACACACACACACATATATATACACACACACTTATATATGTCTTTTATTTTTTACATTTATAGATCAAATTGTACATATTTACTATATACAACATGATCTTTAAAAATATCTAAACATTGTGAAATGACAAAATCTAGCTAATTAACCTGTACATTACTTCACATATCATTGTTTTTGTGGTAAGAATATTTTGCATCCACTCTCTTCGTATTTTTCAAAGCAGAGAGGCAAGACATTTGTGGGACACAGAAATGGTTTATTACCTACTGATGATAACTTGTACAGTATTCTCAACTGGACTGGTCTGAGATGTATTTCATGTTGGGTAAATTCTCTTTACAAGTCAAATGATATATAGAGATTGAAAGGTAAACAAAATAAGAATAACAAAAATAAAATAAATTTTAAAAAAGAATACAATATAAAGTTAACTATAGTTACCACTTATACAATAGATCTCTTAAACTGATTCCTCCTGTCTAATTGAAATGTTGTATCCTTTGACTATCATCTCCACAATTCTTTTCCCCTTACCACACCAGTCTCTGAAAATCCTATCATACTTTTTGTTTCTACGATATCAACTTTTTTAGATTTCCCATGTTCCCTACATGAGAACATGCAATTTATTTTTGGCCTTGGTTATTTCACTTATCATAATATCCTCCAAGCTCATTCATATTGTCACAATAAGATTTCACTTGTTTTTCTTTTTAATGGCTGAATAGCTTTCTGTTATGTGTATATACTGCATTTTCTTTATCCACTAATCAATGGCCACATGGAATGAACCATGTCTTGGCTACTGTGAATAATGCTGCAACAGATAGGGGGTGCAGATGTCTCTTCCATACACTGATTTTGTTTCCTTTAGATACATTCTTAATAGTGAAATACTGGATTATATGGATTCTATTTTTAATACATTTTAAGAACCTCCATATTATTTTCCATAATAGCTATACTAGTTTCCATTCACACTAATGGTGTGCAAGGAGTCTTTCCTCCACATTATAATCAACACTTGTTATCTTCTATCTTTTTAAAATTAGTCATTGTAAAGGGTATAAAGAGATATCTAATGTGGTTTTAATATGCAGTTTGCATTTTCCTGATGATTAATGGTATTAAACTTTTTTTATACATATAGGCACCTATTGGTAATTTGCATGTCTTCTTCTGAGAAATGTATGTTTAGGCCCTTTATCCAATTTTAAATCAGGTTTTTTGTTTTCTTGTTGAGTCTTTTGAGTTCTTTATATATATTGGATATGAATCTTTTATCAAATGTAAAGTTGGTGAATATTTTTTGTTTCTTCATTCTGTTGATTATTTCCTTTGCTGTGCAGAAGGTCTTCAGTTTGATGAAATTTTGTCTGTCTATCTTTGCTATTGTTTTCTGTGCTTTTGGGGTCATTTCCAAAAAGTCATAATATAGACCAATGACATGAAAATTTTGCTTATATTTCCTTCTAATACTTTCAGGTTTTATATTTAAGTCTTTAATACATTTCTAGTTGATATTTCCATATTGCATGAGATAAGGGTCTAATTTCATTCTTCTGTATGTTGATATCAATTTTCTCAGTACCATGTATTGAAGAGACTATCCTTTCCAACTGTGTGTGCTTGGCTCTTTTTTGTCAAAAAAATCTTTTGGTTATGAATAGTGCATTTATTTCTGAGCTCTTTATTTTTTAAGCCACTCCATGTTTTTATGTCACTACCCCATGCTGTTTTTTTGCTGAAGATTACTTTGGCTATTCAGAGTTTTTTGTGGTTTCATATAAATTTGAGAAATTAAAAAAAAATGTTTTGTAATAGGTGTCATTTTATTTATTTAATTAATTAATTTAACTTTATTTATTCATTTCAATTTGACCAGAGAGAGAGAGAGAGAAAAATGAGAAAGCAAGCCACCAGGTCTGGGACTCGAACTGTGGTGAGCCATGTGGGAGTGTCCAGAACCTTAGCCACCATGCCACCTGCTGGTCTTTAAAAGTGTCATTTTTAAAATTTTACAATTTCTGATTTATATTTACTTGTACATTTTTGTGGACTACAATACAGTTTTTCAAAGCATGCAGAGTGTGGAATTAGCAAGTCTAACATACCATATTTATCATTATGCTATGTTGTGAGCCTTCAGTATTTGTTTCACCAGTTTTTATTTTAATTTAGGATATATATATATATATATAAATGATTACCAATGACCTTTTTGTTTTCACTCAGTTGCAGTATATCATTTCATAACCTATTTGCTTTGTTTATGCATTTTTGTATCTGTTAATTTTTTCCTGGACCCTTCCCCATGTCCCAATGCCTGTACAGTCTCTGGTATCTACAGTTGTCATTGGTATTTTGATAAGGACTGCAATGAATTTGTAGATCATTTTGGGTAGTATGGATATATCAGTAACAGTACTATAATTCATATAATCCATGAATATGAAGTATTTTTCTATTTATTTGTGTCTTCTTCAATTTCTTTTATCCAATGCTTTTATACTTTTCAGTGTAGAGTGTGTTCTCTCTCTTAAATTTATTCCTAAGTTTATTTATTTTTCTCTTCCTATTATAAATCACATCTTTAAAAATTTATTTTTCAGATAGTTTGCTGTTAGTGTATAGAAATATCATGGATTTTTTTCTTTTATTAAATTTAATTTTATTTCTTATTACCATAATTTTTATATTGCATTTAATCACATGTATCTTTACAGTATATTA